GGGGGGGGCACCATAATCTTTTCAGTGCTTAGGGCCTCTAAATCCGGCCCTGTTTCCTTCCCAAACTTTCCAGGAAAATGCCACCCTGGCCTACGCACCCCCATATGAAATGGAGTGTGTGAATGCTTAGAACAATTGGGCTCTGCCATGGAAGCGTGGTGGGGACAGCCACCCCTAGCTTCTTTGCAGGGCCGAGACTATGCTTGTGACTGTGAATTCAGAGGGAAGGTTGCTGGAGAAAGACACCCCAGGACCTGGGGGTTGAGGGAGGGCGGGTGGGGAGCTGGAAGCTGGCTACCTATGCTCAATGCTGCTCCCTGGAAAAAAAGCAGAGGAAAAAGCAATGCAGGATGTAAGAACATAAGAACGGCCAGACTGGGTCAGACCCAAGGTCCATCTAGCCCAGTGTCCTGTCTTCTGACAGTAGCCAATGCCAGGTGCTTCAGAGGGAATGAACAGAACAGGGCAATTACTGAGTGATCCATCCCGTCGCCCATTCCCAGCTGCTGGCAAACCGAGGCTAAGGACACCCCACTCTGATTGCAAACACACCTGCAGGTCCCAATGTCTCTGAAATAGCTAAAGGCAAATCTCATAAGGCCGGCAGTCTAATGTTAATTAGCAACTGTGGGTTGTATTGGTAGGACAGACGGCGCCATGGAAGGGAAAGGGCGACACCTTGAGGTGTCACCGAAAAGCCGCATCTTATTAAGATTAGTTAGTATTGTTCCATCACGTTTTAAGAGCCCATCGGAGCATTTACTCTGACCTCAATTTCACGCAGCTACCCCTAGACTGACATTAGTTAGACCAAAGCATCTTAGCTCTCGGGAGACGAAACTGGCAGAGAAAAAGAAGGGCCGAGACAGATGGATGGGGAGAGCCCATCCTTCCTGACCCCCTGCATGCGACTGGCTGCAGCCCTGAAGCATGAGAGTGGGTTGGAGTCGTGGGCTGAACGCCGCGTAGCAAACATGGCGATCATACCGAGGGCAATGCAGACAATTCTGTTCTTCGCCAAGAGAGGGACTCAGAGTGGTTATCGACCGCTGCTGCTGGATTTTAGCGCGGGTCCATGGGTTCCTCCAGCCAGTCGGGCCATCTGGCTAAGGGAAGGACTTCTGCCGCAAGCCCTAATTCCTGACACCGCGCCAGTCAATTTCCCTATGTAGACAAAGCTGGTGGCTCAAGTGGGTGGAGCTTATTTGGTGGGAGGGGCTTGGAAGAGGGTCATCAGGGATGCCCATTTGAAGGCAGCTTTTGGGCTGATGCCCCGCCCTCCATCCCACCTGCTGGCCCAAAGACTGGGGTGAGCGAGAGGGGAATCGGCGCCTCTGATGCCACTGAAGTGACTCCTGATTTACACAGGGGGGATCAGCCCCCCAGGCTCTGGCAGGGGGCAGGTGGCGTGGGGATCAGAACTCCTCTGGCTCTCTGTGCCGTGGGGGGTTTCGCTCTGGGTTGGACAACGCCAGCGGCTCGGTCCCGCAGGGGCCAGTTCCAGCCCGCAGCTGCAGACCCAGTCTTGCATCTCCACGGTACCTCTGCCCTGGCCTGTCGGCGGACACGTCCCTGCCGGTGTCTGGCTGGGGAGGCCATTCTGCGGGGATCAGGGCTCTGGCACCGGGCTCACGTCCACAGATCGGCCCCGGGGGTTGGATTGAGCTGGGGCCACCCCAAGTGGCTGGGTTTTGGCTGGAGAGTCGATGACGGGTTTGTTGGGTGGAAGGAGCCCTGAGTCAGAGCGCGAGTCCTGAATGCTGACCACTCAGGGCCTGTCTCTCCGAGCATTGGGGGATCCTCTAGCCAGCCCCTCTGAGAAATGTGGGGGCCATTTTTGGCCCCTTGGCCACAGAACGTGCTTTTCCTGGACCCAGCAGTGCCACCCACCTGGCCAACCCACAGGTCCCTGCCTGGCATTTCACCCCCGAAAATGCCCCGAGCCAGCGAGATCTCTGGGCATCGCCTCTCCGAGCAAAAGTAGCTAATCGCTGTGAGCAGGATTTGAACCTGCGCAGGGAAACCCCATTGGATTTCAAGTCCAACGCCTTAACCACTCGGCCATCACAGCTGGGTAATATCAATGCCTCTCCTTCCTGCTGTAGAGAGTCTTTTCTTTATGGGTGCAATGGGCATCTTATGGCTCAGAGCTCTGGCTTTCTAAGCAGGTACATTTTGGGGTAGGTAGGTAGGTAAATAGAGGGGTGTGTGAGCAGAGGGGTGCATAGACAGCTAGGGTGTGGGTAGATAGATTCTGTTCCTTAACCTTTACTTTACGAAAGCAAAACTAGACAAGAAATACCTTTTTTCCAGATTCCCCCCCTCTGCCCATAGTTTCAAGACTCAACCATTCTTCAAACGCAGTCAGTGAGGAGCACTCGCTGATCATGTTGCTTCGTACATTGATTGGAGCGTAGCCAGGTGTAAATCATTTTGCCCCTTGCTGAGTGAAGCGTAGCTGAGTGTAAATTGTTTTGTCCAGTGATGATGGAAGGATACCTGCATATAAATTATTTTGCTCCTTGCTGATTGGCAGATGCCTGGGTATAAATCATTTTGCCTCTTGCTGATTGGAGGATACCCAGATATAAATAAATGTGTTCATTGCTGATTGGCAGATACCTGGGTATAAATCACTTTACCGGTTGCTGATTCCCGTGTATAAATCATTTTGTCCATTGCTGCTGGATCTTGCCTTTACTGAAACCTTCATTTTTTCAGTCCCTGGTGAGCTGCCTGGATCTAGAGCCTCAGAGGGAAACAGCTCCAGCTCCAGATGCAGCCCTGCAATAACAAAACCCTTAGAAATGTCAGGGATCAAACCCAGGGCCTTATAGAGGTAAAGCATGCACTCTACCACTGAGCTACATCCCCCACACAGAACTATGGCCTACCCCTGTGAGAACTCCTTTCTATGCCTGGTTCTCAGCCCAGCTCCCCAAATCCATTCCCCCACCTGGGGCGTTTGGCCCAAGAGTGAGGTCAGGAGTGGACATGGGCCTGGAGTTAAGAGGGGCTGGACATAAATTTGGAGAGGGGACTGATGGAGGGCGGGGGAGGTTCCTTGATGCCATGGGGGCGGGATTTGCCCTCAGCAGACTGGAAGCCTTTAAACCTCATGGATCCCGTATGGCCCTAGGAGGACAGGGGGACCTATATGGCCCTGGGGGAGGGGTCCCTTATTGCCCTGGGGAGGTGGGGT